CTATCTATCTATCTATCTATCTATCTATCTATCTATCTATCTATCTATCTATCTATCTATCTATCTATCTATCTATCTATCTATCTTGTTATTCAAATTTCAAATCGAAGTTCAACATTTTATTAACGCTTTTGGATGAAAAAACGAGAGTGGGAGGACAGGATGAAAAATTTGGTCAGAACGGAAACGCAACCAAAAGCAGCTGCTATGTCAAGGTAACCTTGGTAACACCAGAAGTAAGGGCACTCTGACTTCAAAATTTAAGTTTAAAAGCTTTTACTCTCCCCAAAAACGAAAATTTCGAACTTGAAAAACATTAACTTTAAACTGTGAAAGAGGAGAAATCTAGACATAATTTGTATTTTAGTTTATTTTGTTTTTAAGTAAGAAATGATTACTGATGCAGTTCACATTTTATCATCAAGTACACATATACGTTCAGTGTTTAGTTTGAGTCCTGTTGTAAGGACCTGAATAGATAGATTCATATTAAATAAAGACTAAACATATTAGTTTAAACGTACACACAGGACAAACAACATGGTGCATACAGCTGGGTGCATGTGTCACTCACGTGTTGAAATGTGTGACGTGAATGTGAATTCCACGTGCAAGAATATTTCAGATAATGCTACAAATTTAAAAAAAAAGTCACTTTAAACAGTTTCAGGTGGACAATTTCCAACCAGAATGAGTTCGTTTTAATTCAAGGGTTTTAATCTTGCTACCAGCCTAACCGGAAGTCACGAGCGTCTTCCAGAACCGTTGTCTTGACGGATGTTGCGTCACAGCTGCTTTAAAGCAGCCCGAGTCGAGACCATCCAGGCTCCAAACCCAGGAATCCCGGACCAGATGGGCCGTGTTCGAGCCTGAAAACTCGGACTTAATCCGTAAACAGCTGGATTAAAGACCCAGGCTCGAGTGGGACGGGCTCAGGACGGAAATTCGATTATACCTCGAGTGTCGGAGCTTTTTCTTTTTTTCTTTTTTTTTTCTACCGGAGTGAAGGCGCTTCAGTGCCCGGGTAGGTTCCGTTTTTCGTCGCTAATTTGACACTGTTTTACTTTTGCTTTCCCACCTCGGCTTGGTTTTTCTAAACGTCAGGTTGGCTTGAGTAGTTGTGTTCTTCACCGGTTCTGGTGTGCCATCCCCGGGCTACGGGCCTGTTGCAGCCCGGCTCTGGTCCCCCTTCCTCCAGTTTGTTTTCATCAGGAGGGAGCGGCTCCTCTCCTCCTCCTCCTCCTCCTCCTCCTCCTCCTTCTGCTCCTGCTGCTACTTATGGCAGCAAAACCCGTGAATATCAACAAAAGGGCCATCTTTACGAGGTCTATACATCAATATGTTAAACCAGCACCACCTTGTGCTGGTTTAACTCTCCATCTATGAAATTGGCAGGACGGTGACCAAAATACCACTGAAATCTATGTGATCTGATTTATTTTACCCGCTCATATGTCGTAAATAAATACAGGAGAAATAAATCCAACATAAAACTTTGAGAGTCTAATTAAAAGAAAATCACACAATAGTGGACATAGGAAAAAATGAGATCCTGTACTGTAGTTAAGGCCGATGGAGGCAGAAGTATGGCGGAACAATGTGAATGCTGTAGTCACTAATAAAGAGTTTTTTTTAAAAAGTTGCTTCCAGTGCTGGAAAAGCTTTCTATGGGATTTGTAATTGTATTTGTTCAAACTAATAGACACGCATGGCGTCTGTTGAAAGAAATCAAAAGAAATGACTGTTTAAACCAGCATGTGGTTGTCTAAACACACTACCAAAGGCCAAAAAGAGGAGTAAAAGTCTAGTTATATACCAGTCCAATTGCTGAAATGGAATAATGGATTTAAATGATAAAAACTAAGTAATAGTTGCCAAAACCAGATTTAAATCGTGTCAAAAAGGGAGTGTTCAAAGATTCCCTGATAAGATAAATATTGACAAACAGGGGGATTCTAAAATCTGAAGCCGGTTTTGTGCTTTCCGTGAAGAGCAGTATTTCCTTATTCGGGGTTTGAAGTCACTCTGGGCAAAGACTGCTGCACACAGAAACATTTATGAGACAGAAATGTGATTTATTTCCTGCTCCCAGATAAAAGTGATGTCTGTATTGTTGCATGGCTGGCTGGCTGGCTGGCTGGCTGCGAGCATCTGCTTGTGTTTGAGCTTCGTGGACGGACTCTGGGGTTGCGTTGTTGTCCTGATAATTTTCACACTTTGTCCTGAGCGCCACATGCTGCCTCCATCATCAGCCTGTCAGGACGCTGCGATCTAATCAGCCTCCCTGACCTCTGGACTGTTTCTTCCCTTGCTTCAGCTGATACCGAACTTTTGCTTCGTGTTATGTGATAATCTTTTCTCCTATTTGCTTTTGATTAATGGGATGCATAGAATCTAAAAGATATGTTGAGCAAACAAACGCCTGACAAAGGGCCAAAGAGGGAGAGCGTCTGTGGGAAGCTGTGAGACTTTCAAGCTCCTTTCATTCTTCACTTGTCCGCCCAAACAGCAGACGGCAGGTCAAAGGTCAAACAGAAAGGCAGGGTTATATTGAACTCAACCTTCAGACCTTAAAATTCAGAATAAATGGTTTTCTCCTAACTTTATTTGAGGCATAATTCTTTTGCTAAATCCTGAACTTTATACCCTCTACTTTTATTTTTGTGGTTTGTTGACGTTTTAACCAGTTCCCAGAGCAAAATAAATTGTTGTGTTCTGTTTTTCCTTTCTAAAATGGTGAGAAAATGGCCTGCTGCGATCTCCCGTTTGGTGTCATTGTAGCTGGTTAGACGTCATACCTGCTACGCTCAGCTGTTAAAAGCGTCTGATTACGTTTGTTGACCCAAATGTTTTTGGTTTCATGGAAGGAATTTGTAAGCGTTGCTTCCTTCAAGCCCTCGACTAACCTGCCTGTGAATCTGGGTTGCTCTGCTGTGGATTGATGATGAACAAAAAATGATCTGAGTGGTCTTTAGGCTTGTTTAAGCTTCCTTTACATACAGACATTTTCTTGTACGTTTCAAGTGTTGCCAAAGCGTCGCTGCCTGTGGGCGTGTTTGTAGACGTGCGTAGTTCTATGCACAGGTGCCCAACCTTTCTTTAAAAAGTTCTGTCACTTATTTTTCATCGTTATTTGTTTTTCCTCTTTTTACTGGTCACATTTCAGCTAAACTGCACAGCACTGCTGCTACAGTTTCAAATCAGTGAGGTCTCTGAAAACATACTGAAATACAAACAAAATGAGCACAAGTGATGAATTAAGGGCTCCATCTGTATGCATAACAGCTTTTAACAGGTAAAGCTGGCCGCAAGCCCAAAGTTGGCAGCTCCCCCATCTCAGTTTTTGAGATAAACTGATTGATGTCATATTCAAGTGTTAAAATCTTATCCTCCTGAAAAGCTTTTCATGAATAACATGATAATTGTTACAGTAAATCTACAGTAAACCGTTTCCTTTAAATCATGAAGACGGTGAGGTTTTTAGCTCTCTGCTATCGGTTATCGTTCCATGAAGTAGATCTGGAAGGCCGCCATGACCAATAGCCAGTCAGCTCTTATAGTAAGTCTAACAGGCTGTGACTGGTACCTCATTATGGATAATGAAACTCAACGATCCAGAGCGTCTGATATCACAGAGCAGCGAGCCATCAGAAAAAGGCCTCAGAGAAACATCGGCTTGACACTGGGAGAAAAATGACTGCACACGCTCCCTGTTTGAGGGGCGTCGCCATGGCAGCGACCTCGACGGCCTGCACATCTGGAAGCCATCGCTCACTCAGGCTGTGACTCGTGCACTATCTGTGCAGTGTGGTGACCTCATGCTCAGCTGTGTGCAGTCGACCTCTCCTCCAAACATGTGCATGTCTGACGTCAGCGTGGATAAATCAAATTAACTGGCTTATTTTGGCTCCGTTTTCAGGGCGCACAGCAAGATTTAAAGGGCAGGCGTTGTTGGTCGGGTCAAAAGTCAGAAAAGTGGGATTTATTTAAGGGAGTGGAGTTAAAGCAGCGGGTCATTCTTGTTTGTGCCTGGATGGGTTTTCTTTTTAATAACCTCAGGGTGTTTGTAGAATCTGTAAAAAGGCACAGGACCTTCGTGTCCTGTGCACGGCTTATCCCAGATCATCATGTTTCTAGCCATGATCTCTGTTTTTTTCTTTATTATCCTAAAAAGTACTGAATGGCGGTGACATCATCTCTGACTCCTTGTTGCTATGAGAAAGGAGACCGTTGATGGTGTTTGTCACGATAGATGAGCTTTCTTGGACATCTTTAAAAAAACAAAACAACTCATTTTAGCTGCTTTTATTGCAAATGAAGCCAAAGAAACTACCAGCCAGTCCGTCAACCTTTTTATTTTCAATCGATTCTAATTACAGTTATTTTACTGTCAGATAAAATCCTGCTGAAAAATAATCAACCATAAAAAACAGGTTAGAAATGTATACAAAACCATTTGTGAGAATCATTATTGGAGACAAAATGATTTTTCCTGAACAAATTAAACCTAAAATGGAGCTCCAAAGAAAGACTAGTCTTTTAAACCCAATTATATTTGCAATTTTCAGATCCTCAAACTATTAAACCTAATCCAAGATGAGCAGATGCACCAGAGACAGGCTGAGCGCAGGGAAAGAAGTCCATTGTCTCCATACAATTTCAGAAAATATTTCTTGGAAGAAAGCTGTCACTTTTCCTATAAAGAGGCACAAAACAACACTTTAGGAGCTCCATCGTGGAAACTAAACAGTTTGTGTGAAGCTTTGTGGTGTGAGAACGAAGAGAAACCAGGGGAGACGAGGAGCGCAGTCTGTTGTTAAGAATCAAAATAGAAACAAGACACCTCTTCAGTGGGCCGGCACCCAGACGAGGGTGGTGATGACGCTGATGCACGCCGCCTGCGTCACGCTGAGCGCTCGCCGAGCGCACGCCAACACAAACGCAGGCAGCGCCTCCCCGTCTCCCCCGAACTGTGTCTCCCACGTGCCACCGGCAGGATTACTCTGTGTGACAGAAGACAGCATCCGGATCAGTGCTGAGAGTAATAACAGCCACATGTTTCAGATCCTCCACACACACACACATATCCACACACACCCCGAAAGTCCTCCTGCTGTCAACAGGAAGTCCACCTGTCTTCAAAGGACACATAGGAGTCTTCTGGTAGAATGAAGGGACTGGTAGAAATAAAGCTCAGAATTGATGACAGTTAAAGAGTTTTCTGATCCTTTGTTGACTTAAAGAGCTCATTGTGCTGTTTTATGTTAATTTTTGGCTTTTATTTTTTATAAAACTTTTTCTCTTTGTCACTTTTTACAGCCCCGCTCCTCCAAAATGGCCGACACAGAGGTCTCCTTGTCCCCCGCTCTGCAGCCGCTCCACCTTAGCCCGGCTCACTCCTCCCAGCCGCCTCTACCAGCCTCGTCCTCCTCCCCGACCACCTTCTCCTGCCCGTCCTCCCCCTCCAGCGCCTCCTCCTCCTCTTCCTCCTCCTCCTCATCCTCCTCGTGCTCCGAGAGCTCCTCGGATTGCCCCAATCACCATCACCACCACCACGGTCACCACCACCGGCCCCGGCCTCAGCTGCAGCTCCCCCCGCCCTCCCACAGCGAGCAGCCGTCCTCCCCCAGCGCCAGCCCCCGCAGCTCCAGCCCCAGCGGGAGCATCGGCAGCACCGGCAGCCTGGGCAGCAGCAGCGCCAGCGAGGGCATCGGCAGCAGCGGCATGTCCAGCAGCGGCGAGCCGCGGGGGCCGAGCCCCCTGCTGGACGTCATCTCAGAGGACGCCATGGAGATGGACCTGGTGGTCGATCAAGGTAACGAGTGCAAAGAAGGTGGTTGTTTCAGAGTTTCAGGCAGGGGTGGCTTAAATGTGTTATGGAAAACTCTGCGTCAATCCTTTTGCCTGATCCAGTTAACTCCCACACTCCGGGTCCTTCACAGCTGAGATCCTCTTCTGGGTTCTGTCTCACCTTCTCCTGTGTGTTTCTGTTTTTCGCTGGCAGTGATCGATCCAGAGGTGGCGCTGAAGGCTTGCCAGGAAGTGCTCCTCAAAGTGAAGCTGCTGGACAACAAACAGCAACATGACGACCACCAGCAGCAAGAGCAGAGCCAGGCGGAGCGCGGCGGCTCGCAGTGGCACATCGGCCCCGACCCCGGCTCCATCAAAGAGGAGGACGAGAACGAGGAGGACGGGCGTAAAGACGCCGCCACGTCGCAGCCTGCCCCCCCTCCCTCGGCTCCGCCTGACGCCTCTTCACCGTCGTCGTCTTCCAAACAGTCGTGGCTCTTGCGCCTGTTTGAGTCCAAGCTGTTCGACGTTTCCATGGCGATCTCTTACCTGTACAAATCGAAGGAGCCGGGGGTGCAGGCGTACATCGGGAATCGCCTCTTCAGCTTCCCCGACGGCGAGGTGGACTTCTACCTGCCGCAGCTCCTGAACATGTACGTGCACATGGACACTGAGGTGGGAGACGCCATCAGACCCTACCTGGTGAGTCGGGCTTTGGTTTAGTCATTCATCAGCTCCGGAGGGAGTCCAAGGTTTGTTTGCTAAGGCCGGCGCTGTGGAATGTGATCCCTCCCTCAGGTCCATCGCTGCCGGGGCAGCATCACCTTCTCCCTGCTGTCCGCCTGGCTGCTGGGCGCCTACTCCTCCGACATGCACATCTCCACCCAGCGGCACTCCAGAGGGACCAAGCTCCGCAAGGTCATCCTGTCTGACGAGCTCAAGCCGTCTGCCCCTCCATCGGACGGGCCTCGATCCGCGTCCGTGTCCGACAGCCCGCTGTCCTCGCCGTCCAGCCGCCGCGGCCACCGCAGGCACCACAGCAGCAACACGGAGGCGTGCATTTCCCCCGCCCCTGTCGTCGGCCCCGCCCCCAACAGCCCCGAAAAGAGCGAGGTGTTTGTGTCCCCGTCCCGGAGGACCCACCAGAGATCAAAGTCAGATGCCACCACAGCCACCAGCGGGCCGGGCGCCAGCCTCCGGCGGACTGGTAGTAACCCGAAGGTGGAGGCAGTCCACGAGGAGGTGAGGGGCAAATCTATCAGGATGGACGAGCCTGGATGTTGGCAGCTGAGGCCGGTTATGTTGGCTCATGAGAGATGCTATTAATCCGTCGATAAGAGCCAGCAGGCTTCATTTAACCACCCCCCACAACAGGCAATGGCTCTTGAGGGGGGGTGGGGGTCGCACAGCACTCTCCCCCTAAATCCTGTTACATTTCTTATCATTACTGTCGTAATCTTCACATCAAAACTCTACTTGATGCTGGAGTTACTTTCTTGGTAAAGACTATTAATAAAACCTTCTTTTTTGTGTTAAACTGGCACTCACAGGGTTACTGTGATTCGTACAGAAGTGGAAAAACTTTTATATCCTCAATTATTTCTTGGAACTTTGTTTATTCTTGCTTTTTTTTGTTTGTATCCCTCTAAATGCATCCCGTGCGGCATAACATTTTTCTTCCTTTCTTCTCTCTCCCTCTGATCCTCTTTGCTTTTGTCGGTTACGTCATTTTTCTGCCGTCATTGTAGAAGAGAACCCTGTTTGTCCAGTGACACGTGAGGGAAAGCGGTTTGGCTTTGTTCAGTCACCTGTTAAATCCCGAGCCGCAGATGCAGATCCATCTCACTTCCTCTTTATAGTGTAATACTTCATATTTCCTCCTAATGGTTGAGCTGTGTCGGGGTCCAGTTTTTGTGGGATGTGGAGCCAGTGACAGCACTAAGTAATCAGCAAAGATAAAGCCTAATGTTGTGTCAGCCAGTGGTCTACAAATAGGAAGTCACACATGTTTACATTAGCTTTTGGTCACTTCCTGCGGATATCATTCTCTCTGATGTCCTCCCAAAAATAAACCTGCCGATATCCACTGGAAGCAGAGGGGGAGGAAAGGTGCTGCAGAATCCTCCTGTTTTTCCATTTTTCCTCTGTATCTCTGCAGCTTGCTGATATTTGCAGTCAGAAGCTGCTCATACAGACCTCTGCTACCTGTTTTAAACAGGGGTTTCCAGTTTGAGTGTGCAGTGGGACAGATTCACTGAGAGATCAGCATGTGTTTTCTGGGTTGGACTTGTCCTTCACATTCCTGGCTGGTGGCTGAGTCACATGTGCCGAGGTTCTCCATTGGCTGACAGCCAAATGCATTGCAATGCCTTTGGTTGCTCTCCAAAAGCAAAAAAAACAAACAAAAAAAACCCTCTTCTTTAGTTTTTTCTTCCCCTGCTGCTGAAGTTTGATGTGAGCTTCCAGTTATTCTTGTATTTGTATTAGTAGTTTGAGTGCACCAGAAAAACTGAAACGGGAGAGGGATTTAGAGGAAAAAGAAAAGAACCTCTTTACTTCTAAGGGGAAAAAAAGCTTTGACCAATTCAGTTGTTTTAGTAGAATCAATAAAAGTTCAGAACAATATCCAGATATAGAACTTCGTCTTAAATCAGACTTTGTTCTTTGTGGTTGTAAAGTAATATTTGATTAAGATACTATGTTTCATTTCTTTTTGGCTTCCATATCTCTCTAGTTCTATATGTCAGATCAAATGTTTAATGTCGCTCTAAATTCGTCCGACAGCTGGCAGCAGGGGTCAGTTTTAGACCTTTTAAACAATACATGAGATCGGGTCTTGATACATTCAAGTGTGCAGACTTTAAAAGTTTGAACTTGGCAAGTCAGCTGTGCGCAGACTCCACAGTTAAGACAGCAGGAATGTTTGCAGCCAGATCAGCAGCTCAGCTCTTTGTCCCACATCACAGCTGCACTCAGGCTGAAAAAGGGAAAAGGAAAAGCTGCGGCCTGAAAGTTTCATATGGAAAAACATTAACATTACCGTGAGAACTTCAACGCTTTGAACATCTTTTCAATTTATTCAGTTTTCATCACAAATGACTGAATCTAAAAGTCCTCTTTGAGTGTGGGATCTGACAACGTGATTCAAATGGAGTGACGGATCACGCTACATCTGCTGTTTATGGTTTGAAATTTTCTCTTGCCGTTTCTGAGACTGAGGCCTCAGATGTTTGAGTTTAATCTGCTGCAAACACACAGTTCAGCTCCAAACGGTGATGAAAGTAAACGTTAGAGAAACCTTCAGGGGCCGTCATTTGATCCCAGTTGGGTTTCAGGAAGTAGTGGCTCTTCTTCCCTGTTTTGTGTTTGTAGTTTTATATCTTTTCCTCTTATCAGAAAAACGTGACGTCTTAGATGTTATTCTAACTGATAGAGATCAGCCACGTTTTGCCTTGAACTCTGATGGTCGAGAGAGATTGATCCCAGCGTATCACATTTAAAAGTATTTGGTGCATGCTGCAAGACCTGAATCACAGTTCCTCTTTTTTTTGTTTGCTTCCTCTGGCTCAACAGTTAACCCCCTCACATAAAAGGCAGAAGTGTGGCAGAACCTGTCTGTCTCTGGGACAAAGAAAGAGAAGTTCTTAGAAAGAAACACGAGATGAGTCAGTGAAAGGTGAACCCGGTACAGAAGATGGCCTATCCGATACCTCGCTCTCTTTGTGGAAGGCCAGGGTTGTCATGGTGACTGAGGGGGAGTGCAGGAAGTGGAGGGCTGGACAAAGATGGGAGGAGTGTCAGTTTACAGTCAGAGACAGAGACAGCAGACATGAAACAACAGAGTGAGAGCAATCTTAATGACTTTAAAATGACAAATTCCTGTTTTGTTTTTTTGCTGTTCCAAAAAAAAGAAGAAAAAAAATCTGTTAGATGTTTGGATTTTTTTTCTTTTTCTGTTTAGCTGCTGAATGATCCTCAGATGTTTTGCACATCCTGCAGAATCTGGGTCATAAAAATCTTTTTAACCTTCCCTGTATTTGATTTCCTTTGTGGAGAGGTTCCATGTGTCTGCCGAGGAGCTCAGCCCCGTCTGGTTCAGGGTTCGTGCGAGCAGACTATAGCTTTCGTGTAAAGGCTGGTGGAAACCTGCTGGTTAGAATATGTGGAAATCCGTCAGTTTTCATCTGGTTCCTTGACAACTCTCAGTGAAAGTGCTGGAAAAACATGAAAACGGATGACAAAAAATATGTTTGAAGCAGAAATGGCACAAACTGTCCTCTTGTATTATTTCTTTAAATCCATCCATCCATCCATCCATTATCAATACCGCTTATTCCCTCATGGGGTCGCGGGTTATTTCTTTAAATAAGATTGAATTAATTTTGGGAGTTATGGGGAAGGATGTCTTATTGATGATGTTTTGTGGATCTAAAAAGCTTTTGAACTGTTTGGTCTTCTGGCTGCTCAGACTCTCTTTAACAGGGTTTTTTTCTTCATGTCTGTTTCCAGCCAGAGCGTCTTCGTCCCCAGAGGGAGTTCGTCAAGTCTCTGTTTGGCATCGGGAAGCGTTTGGCCACGCTTCCTACCAAAGAACAGAAGACCCAGCGGCTGATCTCTGAGCTGTCGCTGCTCAATCACAAGCTGCCAGCCAGAGTTTGGCTGCCCACAGCCGAGCACCAGCACCACGTCTGCAGGGTGCCCCACACCCAGGCTGTGGTCCTCAACTCCAAGGACAAGGTGACCCACGCCGTTAACGGCCGTAATCCAGAAAACCTGCAGTCAGCCCTGTGCTGCAGGCTTTTTGATATGTTCAAATATGTGGAAACATCAGTGGAAAAGTAGTATTACTGACAAAAACATTGAGCCTAATTTTAGAATAGGATAGAGAACTAATGCTCTCTACCACAAGGTCTTGAGACTTTGACTTTTAGAAACTATAAAAACTGTTTTAAAAAAAAAAATGGCTACCCTGAACATCCGAACCTCCTCTTTCAGGCTCCCTACATCATCTACGTGGAGGTCCTGGAGTGCAACAGCTTCGAGACGTCTCCCGTTCCCATCCGGATCCCGGAGACGAGGATCCGCTCGGCTCGCTCGGCAGAGAACCTGGACTGCGGCACTGCCGCCAACGCCAACGTCATGACGTCAGAGCACCGGGCGGGCAGCTTCTCCACCGTCCCAAACTACGACAACGACGACGAGGCCTGGGCCACCGACGACATCGGGCAGCTTCAGGTGGAGGTACTCCCCGTTCTGCCCGGCGAGCCGGCGCGGGTCCAGCTGAGCCCTCAGAGGGGTGTTAAACGCTCTGTGTGTGTGTGTGTGTGTGTGTGTGTGTTCGTGTGTGTGTTACAGGCGGAGACTCAGACCAGCAGCTGTGACAACATCAGTCAGTTCTCAGTGGACAGCATCACCAGCCTGGAAAGCAAAGAGCCGGTGTTCATCGCTGCGGGGGACATCAGGTAGGAGACGCCTCTGGATAGGACGGCTGAGGAGCAAAAAAGTCAGGCGGACAGCTCGCTTTAGAAGGAAATGAGAGAGCAGGGACGTGCTGCCTACCATGACGCCTCCTCTCTGTTTCGGCGGCTTTTCAGACGGCGTCTGTCAGAAAACCTCGCTCACCCGCCAACATCGTTCAGGAGGGATCCCGAGGACCCGTCAGCCGTCGCCCTCAAAGAACCCTGGGAGGAGAAAGTCAGGTGTGTGCATGTAGACGAGCAGAGGACGGCCTCCAGTCATCTTTCGCATGCCGCTGTGGTCACTCTTGTGGTTTTTTTTTTTTTTTGTGCAGGCGGATCAGAGAGGCCTCTCCGTACGGCCACCTGCCCAACTGGAGGCTGCTTTCAGTCATTGTGAAGTGTGGAGATGACTTAAGGCAGGAGCTGCTGGCCTACCAGGTCCTCAAACAGCTGCAGGTACACACACAACCGACTCCCACACACCAGACCCAAATGTCAAGACAGAAAACAGCCTTTTCATCCTTTCATGACCCCCTTCCTTCTGTCTTCAGTCCATCTGGCAGCAGGAGAGAGTTCCTCTGTGGATTAAACCTTATAAGATCCTGGTGATGTCATCAGACAGCGGCATGATCGAGCCCGTCCTCAACGCTGTCTCTTTGCATCAGGTACGCAGGGCATGCTGGGAAACTTACAGACGCATTCACTCAGGGAAAAAAAACAAAAAAAAACAGTCATTCTGATGAAAATTTAAAATAACACTGCCGTGTTTGTGTGAGATGATGTGAACTGCTTGTGGGCATTAACATTGGGATGCGTATGAAGATGGAGAGGATTTATGTTTCTTCTAGTGAAGTGTCAAGTTTAATGAGTTTAACTCAGTTTTGATCCCTTCTGTAAACTATGTCCACAGTGGTTTATTAGTTTGTCTGTTTCTGGCACACAGCGGAGGACTTTGTTATAGTGCTTGCTAATTGTCAGATTAGCATAAAGCTACTCGAATGGTGTAATGAAACAATGAAAGACATGAGAAACCTAGCATCAAAATTTTTTAAAAATCTAATTAAAAAGTGTTTTTTTCCCCCAAGTGAATTTAGGCTGCTTCCATAGTTTAAAGTGGTTAGTTGGTTAGTTAGTTGAGCTGTCAGTTGACATTTAGTCGAATTACTCAGATGTCAACCTGCGAATTCCCACACGTCTGTAAGCTTTCCAGAAATAGTTTTTTTATGGCCAGAAACGGAGCAAAGGTCAGAGCGTTGGTTTGTTTTCTGCCCCTCAGGTCAGAAAGCAGAGCCAGCTGTCGCTGCTGGACTACTTCCTGCAGGAACACGGCAGCTTCACCACCGAGGCCTTCCTGACCGCTCAGAGGAACTTTGTCCAGAGCTGCGCTGGATACAGCCTCATCTGCTACCTGCTGCAGGTCAAAGACAGGTGAGCCGCCGGGCAGAGGCAGAGAGCCCAAAGCAGCTCGTCGAACATCACACAAACCTGAGAGCAAATATTAAAGAACATTTCAGTTTGTTCAGAGACTGAAATTAAAAGGTTTTCCTGGATTTTTGAAGGGATTTACTTAAACACTAAAGAAGAGGAAAGATGCAAAGTTAGAAAATCCATTTAGTGAGTTATGTTTTGTCGAAGAAGTAATCTGGAGTGTTTTTTTTACCTGTAGGAGCCCTCTTGTTTTACTTAAATCGGATAATTTTAATATTTATGTGAACCTGAAACCGCAAAGCATATTTAGATTTCTGATAAAGTAAAGAAATTCTCCGCAGACACAACGGAAACATCCTGCTGGACTCTGAAGGCCACATCATCCACATCGACTTCGGCTTCATCCTCTCCAGCTCGCCTCGGAACCTTGGCTTCGAGACATCGGCCTTCAAGCTGACGTCAGAGTTCGTCGACGTGAGTAAAGACTTTGATTCTCCACCTACGGCGGGATGAAAACAGCTCTCGTCTCATGAAAGAAAAGTGGATTATACAGCTCACATGCTAGAGATACGCTGATGGAGGTTACGGATATGTACCAGCTCAGATGCTAAGCCTGCTGTTTCCTGAGGAGGCGCCTCTTTGGGCCTGCGCTGACGTATGACCTCCTGTGTTTCAGGTGATGGGCGGCCTGGACGGAGACATGTTCATCTACTATAAGATGCTGATGCTTCAGGGTCTGATTGCAGCCAGAAAGCACATGGAGAAGGTCCTGCAGATAGTCGAGATCATGCAGCAAGGTAGATGTTGAAATCTGTACAAAACAACCGACTTTACACCTGTAGCACGAAGCCAAAGATAAATTACGTGATTGTTTATGTCCTACTCTGAATGTGTACAATAACCAATTAATCAAATCAGTGTCGATGTTTGAACAATGAATTTGACTTCAGGCAGAGGACAAACTGCACAGTGTATCTGGTCTTAAAGAAGCACGCCTTCCCCTCCTGGTCTTGCTAACCCGCCTCTGGTCTCGCTCCAGGCTCCCACCTGCCCTGTTTCCACGGCTCCAGCACCATCCGAGGCCTGAAGGAGCGTTTCCACATGTCCCTGACGGAGGAGCAGCTGCAGCTGCTGGTGGAGCAGCTGGTGGACGGGTCCATGCGCTCCATCACAACAAAGCTGTACGACTCCTTCCAGTACGTCACCAACGGCATCATGTGAGCGGAGCCGGAGCGCGTGAGCGGCGGCGGCGGTGGTGCCACTCAGGCCCAGGCCACAGGTCAAAGTGGCGGCTTTGCGTTCGTATCTCCTTCCTTCTGGTGAGTCGGGAGGTGAAGGTGGTGCCGACGGGCTTAACTGGATCTGACGGTTTGCGATTCTTCAGGAATCAGTTGGGGGTTTTTTTGTTTGTTTGTTTGAGATCCTGGAAAGCACAGAATCTGCTGCTTTTCCAGGTCAGAAGAACACCAACCGTGCTTGACGCATCGCAGAATTTGCTGTGCTGCTGCTTCTGATGGCTTGAAATGAGACCTGACTGGACTTCCACTGGACTCGAATCGGAACCAGCTCCCGAGCTGCTGATTTTTGGGGAATCCTTTGGTTTCCAAATCAGTTTAGATCCTTAAGCTGCGACTGAAAGGACTCAGTGGACAGAGAAAAACCATTTCACTTCATCGCTTAAGGATTAATTAAGTCATTCATCGAGTGAACTCCCAAAATCTGCACATTGCAATGTTACAAAACTGAGCCATCGCTTTCTGTGGTTGCATGATCAGTGAACTACTAACCAAGGGCAGCAGAGCCTCCTTTGTTGGGTTTCATTGGCCGTTTGAGATGCCATGTGGGTCCACCAATAACATCAACTGATTATTTTCATGGAAAGGAGAAAAATGATTTGGATAAAATTTACCCCATGGCCTCAAATGTAAAGACATTTAAAAGGAGAAAAAAATAAAATAATAAAGAGATTAAAAAACTCAAAGAGCACAGATAAAAAGCAAAAAAATAAATAGATTGTGCAATCTTTGCTTTAATTTCTCTTTAAATGCAGTAAATGTCTGCAAACCACCACTTTTTATCATCTCATTGCTCTGAGACATAGCCCTCATCTCATTTAATGATCTTGCCTGATAAAAATCCTGGTCTTAAATGAGTCTTCAATGTTTACTCTGAATTAGTCGATTTTTTTCAGAATGTGACGACTGACTGCAAAGTAGTTATGAGACGTCATTTAAGGAAAACAAACAACAACAACAACAAAAAAAAACTCATTCTGAGACGAAATCCTTGAAGGATCGTGTGGATCGTCATCCCTCCTCAGGTCAGGAGGGCCAGCGGCTGTGAGGTCCAGCCCCAGAGGGCAGCCGGTCACCTGCCGGCCGCTCCTCCTGCCGGCCGAGGGAAGCGATCCGTCTCTGTGGTTGTTCTTAAAGAACAGAAACGCTAAACGTAAAAAAGCACAACCTTAACATGGGTATCTTTCTCCGGATCTGGTCTCTAGAAAGCAGAGAAACTGGTAAATGGAGGAAGGATGGATTTAAATATCTTTTTAAAGTTTGAAATGATGTCTTAGTGTGATAAATGTCAGTTAGGTTCACCAGATGCTTAAGGCTGCTGCAAAGTGAACAGGTCATTGTAATGACTCTAATCTAAATTAGAACATGGGGGGGCAAACCTTGGGGATTTTTTTTTATTTCTTCTTTATGGAAAAAAATATCTATTTTGTAATGCTTGCTCAAATGATTCCTTTCCTTGCGGCGGCATGTTGATGTCCAGTCATCGGCAGCAGACTGAAGTACTGTGTGGGCTAAGTCCCCGTTTTGATGGATAATTTGCCCTTTTTGAGTAAAATACACAGTCCACGCTAACCTGTGATGAACTAGTTTCCTTAGTTCTCTTGGTGGTAACATCAGCTTTCAGAAGGCCGAGATGCTGAATTTAAAGCTTCGAAACCACTTCTCAAAGCAACAAGTTCCTCATTTTGTCAAATGAATTTGTTTTGTTTAAATGTTGAAACATTTCAGCAGCTGATGAATATTTTCCAATGTGCTGCAGACTCACTCTCCAAAACTGAGATGTTTTCTGTTGGAGTGAACTAATTATTCATGCTTGTTACAGCATTTTAGGTCCAATTTGAATTTCAGAGGTACATTATGCATGTTTCATTTTTGGGTTCTGCCTGTGGACACTCTAAAAATGGTAATGTTGAAATAAGTCACCAGTCCTGACGTCAACAACATGGAAGCTAACTGGTTGTGCTCACATCGCTGGTCACAGTTACAAGTAATCTTTGCATATTTGATTAACCCTGTGCATTCTTTCTTCTGACTGGCTTAAAGACACCGTTCTCTGATGCCCTCCACCAATAGGAGCGGGGGCTCTGTGGCCTGGCTAAGTGAGACATCTGGACTTGGAAAAATGTATTTCTTGCATTTCAGTTTACAGAATATGGGGATTTGTTTTCTGTTTTTTCACAACTTTCCACTATGGCATTGTGATGTTATTCTAGTTAGTCCCTAAACCAATCGTCATTGGTCTAACATTGCAATACTTTGAACTGACTCTACTCTCCAGTCGCACAGACATGTATGAACACATTGTTTGTACTTGCATATTTTTTTTTAACCAAATGAGGTCAAGTATCATGTACTTTGAATATCTCTTTACTTACACCACTCTGAAGATTTTAAGGTCTTAGTTGAATTGCTAGAGAGCATATTTTCTTGCTAATTTAGCAAACCGATCTTTGAGGTCCATAAATTGTTGTTCTTCAGGTGTAAAGACATGATCATTAGCTAGTCTTTGCTATCTTACAGCAAGTTTTTACACTTCATATCAGAACAACAATAATTGCTGAGAGTAGCTTGTTACAGCTAATTAACAAGAAACTACAAAGCTTGAACAAACTAACCCTGTGCTGTCTGTCACAATGAATTTAGCATTTACAGCTCAGCTGTGCATAGTTATTTGGATAAATGTTTTTAAAGAAGAGAATTACTGAAGTCTGTGACATTTCTCGCTTGTCTACTTGCTAGCTGCCTAATCCCATGACCTGTTAGATGAGTTGCTATCATGCTAACTTTTTTGGAAGCCACTAGAATTTCCCCACAAAATATTATATTAAATATTTATTTATCTTTTTTATGAGGGCTCATCTGTTTTAAGCATTTATACTTAGTTGAGATGGTCTGCCTTTGATTTAAGAGACATTTTTGCTAACACTGCTTTGATAGCTCACTAAGATAAGACCCAGGCTTTTAGCTGAGTCATTGTCATGCTAACTGCTAACAACTTTAAACATTTGATTTAATTATTTTTTTCCATTCAATGTGATTTATGGAAGTGGCCTGGACCTGAACAACATAAAGTTTTTTCCCTTCCTGTTTTCCACCAATTTATTATTGAGCAAGCAAATGTAAAACGAAAAAGCCCCCAGAAATGAGTCATGCTGATGCCCCATCAGTGCGTGTTGATGCTGAGGGTTATTGTGCATAATAAGTGACCTGATTGCTGATTTCTGTCTCATCTTTTACGCATTCATACAAAACGAACTGTGACAAGAGAAGGGTTGGCTGGAAACAAGTTTATTTTTTTACACTTGATGTGTGGACAGTAAAGCTGGTGGCGTTATGGGTGGAGTGAGCAGAGGCTCTGTCAGTGTTTAGGGTTGTCGTCAGATGTTACACGCGTGGTTACTTTCTGAATGTTTTGTGTTTTGACCACTATTGAAGGAGAAGCACAGGTTCCTCATGATCCTGTTTCCCTCGCTAACCATACGAGTGCTACTTTATACACAGCTGTGACTAAAATCGACCAGACAAGCAACAGAAATAGCAAACGTCTTTGCAATCTTTCCTTTTCATTTGTGAATATTTATTTGTGTATGTACGTTTTTGTTTTGTTTTTTTGTGAGATTATTGATGCCTTGAGATGTACAGAAGGTACAAACTCTTATCAATGCAACCGGAGGGACGATGGTGTTCGGACCTCACAAGTGCTTTTATATTCGATATTTGACAGCTCCAGGGGCGAGTTTCAACACTTAGAAGTCCTCCAAACTTATATGTATCTGCAATTTAAGTCATATTTGAGCAGAAATCTTCAATTAATTGAGGAATGCTTTTGAAACGGTTAAAAACAAATATGTTCTCCCATGTTCATATCACCTGTCCATCTGCCTGTAACATGAAGCTAAAATAATGTCTCAAATCATGTGCGATGTGCTTTGGGGGAAAACTAGTTTGTTGAAACTCGCCCTGCTGAGGAAAACCTTTCATTGCCTTTTCTTTCTTCCTTTCATCAGCTCTGAACAGTCTATAGTTTCAGTGTGAAAAACTAAGTGCATTTATCTTCTTTGAAAATGTTCCTGTTGTATGTAAGGATTCCCTGTTGTTTTTAACTTTACTTGGAGCTCAAAATGTAACACTAAAGTCATTAAAACAGACGTGAAAGCTTCTTTTTTTCTCCACACTCAACATCTAGCAGTTCAACATAAAACGATCACAGGATGCTGACCAAAGCTAAATGTAAAGATTAGGAAAACTCCACTTGTCGCATGACAAAAAAAATCAGATTTCAGTCCTCTGTGGTCTTATTCAAATAGTGAAACTAATGAGGCAGAAAGAAAAAGATATTTTATTAATTACAATTTTTTTAATAAACTCAGCAGAATCTCTTCTAAATGATATGGATGTTAAAAATAAAAGGTATAGTTTATTTCAATTTGCAAGATGAAAAAATCTAAATAATTTTATCAAATAAATTAGCTTAGAATGTACTAATTTGTAAATAAATCTACAAAAATGGAGCTAGGTAAATATTACACAACAGTAAACATGTTCTTTTTTTCCTTTTTTTAAACTTTTTTTTTTTGTTTAAAGATGCAGACTAAAGCTGTAGATGTTAGAACAATTTATTCACTGCATGCACACTGTATTTAACCCAACAAAGAAAGAGGTGGAAATGAAGACAAAGGAGCATGGCTGTATTTTGCATATCTATCTCTTTGAGTTAGCTTTTCTTCCCCTCACTTTCATTCAGCATTCCTTTCCCACACACACGATTCCGTGTATAAAAAACACAGATCACACAAACAGACCAAAGCTGTAAGGAGATTCTGTTTTTATTGACAATTTGACATGATGGCAAATTAAATACAAAAGCTTTGACCAGAGCGTGGCAGCAGTCAAACGGTCACACTGAATGAAAACCGGGAAAAAAGAGACGAAGAAACACCGGAATGATGAAACAAAGTGCTGGTGACACCCGAACATCCACACAGAAGTCATGGGAAAGGTTTCAAACCTGAATAATCCACTTGAAACTGCTGAGTTCTTTATAAAACGCGAGTTATTTGGACTCAGTTTCATTCGCCTTGGCCTTGTAGACGTTTACTTAAGATCAGCACGAGTTATTCAAGTTTTTGACTCGTAGTTAGACGAGGAAAATCAAGACAAAGCTCAAACAAAGAAACGGTGTGAGATCAGCAGTGAAAGCCGTGTTAAAACTTTGGAAACTCCATTCAGATTTAGCTTAGATTTTGTGTCCTTTGCATAGGCACCACAGTCCACAGAAACCCCCAAAGACAGAAATATGACCTAAAGCTACTGGGGACGCGCCTCAGTAATACGATGGCTGTTAAACCAAGCCCTGTTTTAGAGCTTCAAAGGTCTGAAAATCAGCAACCAAAAGTGTTTAAGAATTTAAATAAATTACGTTTATTTGAATAAGATTCATAGAAACCGGAGACGCTGTTCATCTGCTGCCCACAGAATCTGGACTGACTTGTGTCTGCTGGCAAACAAAAATCAGTGGAAATCTGAATGGAGTTTTGGAACGGATGATGAGTTTGAGTAAGCTGGGTAGAGTAACTACTAAATCCCTGGTTATCATGTAACTTCTAATCAGCATCAAAGAGGCAAATGCTGGAAAAGGATCCCTGTCAGAGGACGTTTTGTAACGGAAACTGTTTCAGTGCCGCTGAGGAGGAACATTTCTGAGCACGGTTGACATTCATCCCATCTAACGGTTGAGTTTTCAACGGTTATCCAAGTTTTCTTTCGAAATTCAAGTCTTTTGACAAAGAAGAATTTGCTGTGAAGGACACAAGCCCCGTAAGAAGCCTTTGGAACATGTCATCACTCGGGAGCGCCACCTTCTGGGCAGCCAGCGTTTGCACAGCCCCCGGCAGGCGTCCTGACACCTCCCACACACAGCTGCACCCGAGCTGCTAATGTCTGGGGGGTTCTTTGGCTCACAGCTGCAAATCAAAATAGAGGGAACCAGGATTTTTTGGCTGCCAGATATTCTCAGGAAAAAAACAGAGAAAATGGTCAAATGCTCTCTGAACTCCAGGTTTTTCTCTGTCGTGTGTCACGCCGGGGGGGGGGGGGGGGGAGCATCTACATTTTGGACATTTGACTGGTCAAAAACGAGACGTGGGGATGGAGCTACAAGGTAAAAAGAGGTTTTGTCGTGACGTTAAGGCAGAATTGGTTTCTTACATCTGTTGCACGTTCCTTCATTTCACCCTGAAGCCAAGGTTTCAAATTATTCACAAGATCTTTTTGGACTGGGCCTGGTGTGTTTCCCATTTGAGGGTCTCATATAAACACTGCAAATAGGGCTGAATTTTCCTTTAAAGTGCTATAAAATATCTATAAATATCTCTCCCTGTTCATTCAACACGAGCCGACGACTTAATGCCGTTCTAAACATCGTGTTTTATGCAAAGCTGATCCAGATCACATGACTGAGTCTGAGGTGGGGGCCAGCCGAGGAGTTGTGAGTCTGTATCAGCATCTTCTGGGGCGGGGGGGGGGGGTCCCGTTTTTGCTCCCCAAATCGTCCAAAACGGGGGTTTTGACAGTTTCTCCCTTAAAATCATCTGACTTTTCAGTATTTCGGCTGTCGGCAGCACAAAGTTCTCCTCATTAATGATTCAGACCTGATCTACAAGCAGCAGTTAAGTTCGTCGAGGATAAATAAAGAATTCGGTTACTTGTCGAGCCCTTTAGAAAAGGCAGATCTGTTAAGTGTGGGGTTACCACGGCGCTCCGCCAGGCCGCTCTACAGACTGCAGTCGTGGCGGAAACAAACTGGGGGCCTGTTGGATAAAAGCACTGGGGGTTTGGCATCGTGTGCGTCTGTGTGTGTGTGTGTCTGTGTGTGAGAGGCCTCTCCGCTGCACACACACTGGACTCAGGAAGTTCCAGATGACGATGAAGACTCTATAGGATGACGCAGTCGGAGTCCTTCTCTCTTCTCCTGGTTGGCTGTGACCCTTGACCTCGGACCTGGAAACAGTGCAAAAGAAGGCCGTAAGTTCCAGTGCAGCTCTGGGGCTTTTTTTCTCCTGTGTGTGACTCAGAGGCCCTGAGGGGTGTGTGCAGGCCGGCGGGTACCTGCTGGGCGGCCTGCGGGGCCCCGGCCTGTGCGGCCCCGGCCTGCTGCTGCTGCTGCTGCTGGTACTCCTCCTGCTGCAGCTTGCGGGCCAGCTCCAGGTCACTGAGGGGCCCCGGGGCCCCGCCCTGCTGCTGCTGCAGCGACACAGCCACAAGGTAGTCCTGCGAGCCACGGGAGAGCCGCGGTCAGTGGTGGGTCCCCCCCCCCCCCCTCCTCCCCCGCCCGCCCGGCGGCCTGACCTGGTCGATCTGCCGCTGCTGCTCCTGGGCGCTGGGCGGAGTCCTCTGAGGGGGGTGGCACAGCCGGAAGTCCGAGTCGCAGAAGTTTCCGTCTCCTTCCACGTTGTGGAGAGACTCCCACACCAGGCCCTCCTCCTGCAGGAAGCCCTGGTCCGTCACCAGCAGGTACAGGTGACCCTGAGGTAGGGGGAGGGGGGGTTAGTAACGCCTCCCTTTGGGCGCCGCTCTGAGCGCCGCTCTGAGCCCCACCTTGTGTTTGATCATGGTGCTGAAGTGGTTGTTTCTGAAGAAGACGGAGATCTCGCCCTCGTTGGCCCTGGTGTTGAGCTCACACAGGCCGTGGTAGGACAGCTGGGTGGCGGTGGACTCCAGGAACTGCTCGGCCACCAGACCTACACACCACAGGAGGGTCAGCGCGTAGATCCCAACAGGCCACGACGTTGTACTAAAAGCAACATGCTGTTCACAGGCCTCAGTTCACAGTCATCCTTTACAGTCATTGATGGTTTTGCCTGACTTTAAAAAAAGTGTGTAATAACACACACATCTAGCCAGTGCTCTTTTCCACGTGTTACCTTCACTGACTCGGCTGCTGTCTGCAGAGTGCTTGTAGTCGATGATTTTCTCCACCAGCTGGTTGTAACTCAGCTTCCCCACCGCGGCCACCATCTCTGGACTCTGAACACACCACAGAGCAATGTTCCATTTGACCCCCCCCGCTAACACAGTTGCCTACATCATCAGTCAATCTTTTCTGTCGTTTGATTGGTCTTAATTTAAACACTTGCATAGTCGTCATTTTGGCTCCCGTTCGGGAGGAGCTCCTCTCACCTGGGGGTCCACCAGCCAGCCGTGGTACAGCGGGATGTCCAGCAGGTCGAACACGATGCACTCCGGCGTATATTCAAAGTCGGTGACTCCGGTGAAGCGCACGTTCACGTCCAGACCTGTGGACAGCTTCGGTAGGACGGCCATGGCGTCGCTCATGTTCTGCACACACATATCCCCGCTTTTTTCTCCACGTTCAACATCAGAAAATCAACACAAAGGTCATCAATGCTCCATGCATGAGAAAATCGTAGGAAAAGAGGACCGAAGCCAAAATGACTCGTTAATCGGAGGCCTGTGAACACAACATCGAACTTATCCAACGGCAAAACGCCCATTTTGAGAGAAATGGACTGCTTTTGGACAGTTTGGCACAGAAAAGTCCCACACCAGGCTTTGGCACGTGGCTAATGTCATTCTTTAGTAAGACAGATGAACAATAGTGTGTGTGTTTTTGTGTACCTGCTGGAAGTTGAGCTCCATGCCATTAGCCTTCTCTCTGGGAGTGACGGACAAAACGCACTCTCCTGCACAATGAACCAACACAGACGCCGGTCAGTAACATCTCATGCATAGTTTCGACTGGGTTATTTATTTTTTATTTATTTTTTCCTAGTCTCATACTGGCTGAACCTTTCTAGAGTCTCAAGTCTTACACTGACTCTGAAACTAACCACTCTGCCAGAAATGAAAAAGATTCTATGTACATTTAAAGGAATGTGGAGAAAATGTTCATTGGAGCCTTTGTGGGTTCTTACCCAGGTGAGCCATCAGGTCCTCTGCAGTAACAACTTCAGTCTGAGCAGGAAGCTTAGCCTGAACACACACACACGCACAAACAATTATCAAGCGTTTTCCTTCTTTTACAAATTTTTTTGGGGCATCACTGCTCGAAAGCAAATGCTGATTTAATGTCAGCATCACTTTGTAAAAAAGAAGGCCTGATACGTACAAAGTTCCGAAACAGCAAATAGACAAGACTGAGAAAACCTGTGTTATAAATCAAGTCATTAACTTACTCACTTTTAAAAAAAAGTAAAGTTTCTTTTAGCTGTAAAAGTCGCTTCTACTGGCCATCAAAAAGAAAACCTTGAAAAGGACCTTTTACATTCTTTTGCCATGCCTGCTGTGGCTGTGTTGCTTCTTTTAAATAAACAGAGGGAGACTTCTGAATGTGTGCTTTACCTTCCAGCGCAGAAACAGAGTGTTCATTATGGCCAGCAGGGGGCAGGGTCCGTTCTCGCTCTGAGTGATGATGGGGGTCTTCTTCTCCTTCCAAGTGATCCACTTCACCAGGTAGTAGGCTGGCATGGAGGGCCCAGGCTCGGAGACGGCAGCAGCATTGGGCTGTGGAGGAGCAGAAACGGCAGCAGCGCCCCCTGTGGACAGGAGGGGAACGACAGTCACACTCAGACAGGTTTGGTTTAAAAAAAAACAACAACATTGATATCCACAAAGTAGTGAACCTATCTTGATATGATCATTTCTCTACATTTAACAGCTTTATGAACCCTCCTCACACCTGGATGGTCTCCTCTCAGCCATCAGCCAATAGGGTGCCGTGTACACACTCGCTGTGGCCGCGGCTGCGTCTCCCACACTTGTCAATCTCTGTCTGCTCATCTACACCTTTCATTTTGATTTCATTATTTATTATTGCTAATATTGTTTCAATTTTAGGCTAGAAAATAAGATACACATACATAAATGCAATTAAAAAATCTGCGATGCAGTGGGAAAAGCCTACTGCGACATGGCGATACATCTGTAAGACCTTCAACACAGCTGATGTAAAAAAGATTTAACAAACGAAAGCTAATAGAAGATCACTGAGCAAAGCAAAAATAGTTACAGAGACATCGTCGACTGAGCCCAACTTCATATGATTGGGATGTTGAGAGCCTAAATAATGACGACTGAGCAGCTGGACAATGCACCAGAACCAGAAGAAACCTCACCAGCAGCTTCCAGAGCCTCTTCCTCCTTCAGACTGGGGATCTCAGTGGAGGGGGAGCAGCCCTCACCACCCAGAGCCGAGTACGATGAGGATAAGCCGTCATCTATGTCGAGAGAGTTCCCCGCAGCCGCGACCCCGTCGGAGAGCTCCAGGCTGGGGATGGAGAACGACGCAGAGTCGGTGGACTCCCGATGGTCATCAGAGCCACCCGCTGTCATCACTGAGGAGCTCTCCTCCAGGTCCAGGTCCACGCCTGGGGGCACACACGGGGAGGGATCAGAAACACACGCTTTTAAAGAACTTTACTTTTAAAGGAGAAATGTAAGCTCTCCCACATTTCATGCCCTGTATTTATTTACTTTTTACCATCTCTGCATTACTGACAACATGAAAACGATAGTTTATTTTGATCTGACTGTATTAACACGCATTTTAGATCAGTTTCTGTAAACATCAATTAAACTAAGGTACAGTTAACTTAAAGCGATGGAAGTGGAGGGAAAACTTGGCAGCGATGTACGAAACAGGTTGTGAAGCCTGAGCCATTAAAACAGAACCAGTTGCAGAGTTGCTAACGGAAATAATACTATGAATAATATAGAAAGAATGTCTAAATTATTCAAAACGAGAGCAGCGAAGAACAAGAGACTTCACTCTAGGTTGAAATAAAGACATGTGCCCTGATTTAGTGGGGCAGGTGAAAACAAGGCAGATTGTGTTTACACATCACTGAAAGCCGTGATAACAGCTGGAGCTGTCTTTCTGAACCTGCAAAGAAATAACTGTTTTCACCAAAGCTGAGCTGATTTCTGTTTGGGTTTGTCACCGTCCCAGCTGGCCTATGGCCACTAATATCTGAAAACAACAAAGGCTCAGTTAAGGCGTCTCCTGTTTAGCACAGTATCAGTTTCCTGATTGTCAACCTACTAAAACACTCCAAATACAAACTCAGTTGGTCATGTTCCAGTGATTCTGTCCTCCAAACAAACATATACAAGCAAATAATCAGTAACTGTCTGATAGTTCTAAGTTTTTATTCCTTTCAACTCCCGACAGCGCGGATGGTTTTATTCTGACAATGAAGGATCACAGAAACTACAACCTTTTTACTTTTTCAGGAAGACCCATCCAATATTTTTTTGCCCGTAAAAGAGTCTGAAAGCATCTTATCAAAAATCCACACACTGCGTTATGCTTTAGAGATGTAATCTCTGTACGTCTGTTTATGTCTTCTTAATAGTTTATTAAAGGCTAAATATGTTGAAGATGATAATATTTGTTCTATCTATCAGAGTTATTCTTGTATTTGAATAAAAGCACAACAATCTGTGTTCACAGTTTTGGTTGGAATGTGAATGTGTGCTTGAGTCTGTTAAATAGAGTTTATTTAAACTCAAGCGCTCTAAATTACACTTAAATAGGAAGGAGAGTAAGTCGGAATTCTCTTACCTGGCTCTCCTACCCTGTCTGGTCCTCCTTGTCTCTTAATGTGCTTGAGGAGAACTGAAAGCGCTTCTTCTTCTGTTGTAACAATGGTCAACGTCTCGTTCTCCGACAAGCTTGGCGAGGACTCTGGAGGTGTGGGCGTGGCTTCCTCTTCAGAAACTTTCCCTGGAAGCGGGCTGTCGGCGGAGCCGTTGCTGCTGGGGACTTTGGTTCCCTGCCCGGGTCCCTCTTTTGTGACGGTTACACTCAGCTCTTTGCTGGGGGCTTTCTCCTCTTTGCTGCGTTCGATCAGCAGGTCGGCTGCCGCCGCCGGCTGCGTGCTGGATTCTGCCATGATTCAGCTCACTTGTGGATGCTGACAGAACAAGACCGACCAGCTTCACGGAAAACACAAGAAACTGATCTTTTTCTTTTAACCTTAAAAACATGTATTTAAAAACTAACGAAGAAACACTTTTTTGGAGGCAGGCGGTGTGGTTCAGTCAGACAGCTGATTTAAAGAGAAGGCAGGGTTGTGTAGACTGAGGGTTGCTTCTGACGTCCCAACATGGCCACCAGGAAACAGTGCGTAGACTGGCCTTTAAGTCTCAAGTGTTTCCAGCACTTGCTGAGGGTTTAAAAAAAAAAATAAACTAACTGCACCTCTCAATATGCAGCGGTCACGTCTTCATGTTCAGTACTTCAAGGCGCAAAATGCTGCAAAGAGATTACGCCTAATTGGCTGAAGATGAAATAACCACAGGGAAAGGCTAGTTTTTCCCTCTATTTAGTCAACAGATGTCCGTTCAGACCTAAGGATTAAACACAAAAGCAGAGAAAAATCAACAAAGATGTCTTTGAGGTCACTCAGTGCCTTGTTGTGATGACTTTGCATTTCAATTAGTCCTGAACAGTAACTTCATACAGATGTTGGACATCCTGACCTCTGGAGCTCCAGAAATATGTGCAGTCATCTATTAGTGGCACTTTTACTCAGACCTTTCTCTGAGCTACACAACGAGTATTTCTACCATCAGGTGACCATGCCGCACCCTATTTTAGTCATGATAACAAACTGGTTTGTCTTTAATCTCGAAAATTGGACTAAAACGGGAAATAAAAGAATGAAAATGCCTATGAGAGTTAATCCCTCTGTGGGAAGGGGCCCTCTAAAACCTAACAGACACTGAAAACATTCATCAGTGACCCAAACAAGTGCTTAAGTTTCCCACAGCGCCTCTTAGTCATTCAAGAAAAAGCATTAAAAAAAGTCAACGCCACTCTCATTAAACATGTTATTCCTGTCTAAACTTGACAAAGTAGTTGTCTGTACTCACTGCTAACATTCGACTGGCAAACAGTCCTCAAAACAACCTTCGATTGAGCAGAAACTCGACAGAATCCACGCAAACACGCGTCTTGCTGACGCCTCAACATTAAGCAGCTTTCTGCCCTGACACAACTCTACACTAGCTAACCTGAAGCTAGCGCCACCAGCTAACTTAGCTGAGTTAGCTTTTTTGGACAAACACCTAAAACCAGAGCGGGACGAGTAGTCTAAGGTATGGCGTTGACCTTCGGGTTAACGTGCGAGCAGATAGTCAGTTTGATGCGCTTTACTTTACCGATAACAGTCGGAGGTTTGTGGTCCGCGCTGACGTTAGCTGATGAACAGGCATGCTAGCTGTTTACATTCCTCACCGACAGGCACGCAGGAGTCTCAGAGGCTCCGCCCACTAACGGACACACGCATACGTACAAGTCCGGATGTAAACGTCCGTCACGCAGCGTGTGTCAGCGTGAGTTCAGAGACAGCAGGTCAGTGATGTAACAAAACACACGCACACGCACACGCGCACACACACACACGATGGAAGTTGAAGTTGAATAAACACAATTAATTGAGCAGAGTATTAGACATGAGTGATTATTTCAAATGTATTTCAACTGCTTTGTTAAATTTTTTGGGACAGATCAACAACAGTGTTCACTTGTATGAAAGTTCGAAGGTTTTTGTTGCTCTAGGTTAATTTAGACTCTACATTTTAGATTAACATAACACTGAAATGTTAAAAAAATGTTAAAGCCTGTCTGTTTGAACTGCATTTGTTTCTGTCTGTACCAAGAGAGTGCCGTGATTGTATGTAACCTTTCACAGAACATCATTTTGCACAAACCTCTAAAAGTCTGTTCAGGGATCAAACTTTGCTGCTTCAAAATGTCCTCACAGTATTATTGTTTTTGAATTTCCTACAACAATTAGATTTGATATGAAAAATGCGATCATCTGTGATTTTGATGTTTCTGGGAAGCATTTAATTTATTTAACCATTTATCATTTTAAAAATGAGAATATTAATGATGATAATAATGATATGGATTACTAAGTTTGTAATAGGTTTGTCAAATAGGTGTTACAATTTTTTTTTTAAATGTATAATTTAAGTACTGAGAAAGCAGATTAAAAGGAAATGTCAATCTTTATTGGCACTGGCCATCACCTGACCTCGCAGTCAGGTCAGGTCAGGTGAGGTCCAATGGTCATGTGTGTTTAATGTGTTACTCAACCATGTTTAACATTCAAATGATAAATAAAGTTGAAATCATGTGTGCGGCTTCAGCTTTCTGTGCCTCTTTGTGTTTTTTTTATGTCGTCAGTTTATGTTTCACTGACCTCCCAGTGTGCTTCTGTTAGTTTTTATGACAGCCCATTTTCAGTCTGTGATGATCTGAAATAACATTATAATTGTGTGTTTGACTGAACCTTTTTGCTTTATAGATCAGGAACAAAATGAGAGCTTATGTGAGCATGCATGGCAAACTGAAATACATTTTAGGATGATAAGATAAAAGCAATAATCTTAATGAAGAAAAATCAGAACAGGCTCTTGTTGTGCCGACTTGTTTTTATTTAGGCTGTAGACATGTATGGTGGCCGATTCCTTTAGATTCACTCATGACTGTGCAGCAGCTTCCGCTGGAGCAGATTTCTTATGACAGAAATCTGTGGAAGAAAAAACACCATATACATTTTTCTTTAATAATCAACCAATATTTCAAATGATCAATTGTTTAACTTGCTGTAGAACACTGACTGTTTTTAGATATTGTGTGTGGTTGTTCACATTCACCCACCTGCAAGGCCATCGTAGGCAAAAGGTTTGTCATGAGGAAATTTCAGACACTCAGCCAGTTTCTTGAGGCCTTCGTGGGCGGTTTTCATCTGCTCGACATCCCGATGTGACCCCTCCCTCTCTGTTGTGGAAAACAAATGAACATCAGTGGGATCACACATTTCAGCTAAACTTTAGGTTTAACGCACATCACAATCACTGGGAAGAAAATGTTTGAATACTGCTTCAAGTATTTATACTGTTTCAAGTAAATAAAAGAGTGTGTTACTGTAGCTGAGCAGGAATCTGTGGGTGGAGGTTTTGTAGACCATCAGTAGACAGTCCTCGCAGCTCTGATAGAAGTCCACGGCACCTGTGTCGTTGTATTCCTGAACAGCTCCATCCTTCTCCACTCCTAACGCACACAAGCAAACGCAGAGCGCAGACATCAGCAATCATGCAAAACTCAAGTAAGGACAAATGAATACAGATGGTGTACCGAGAATTTTGTCAGCCCAAAAAAGCTCAGACTTTTAAAGTCTTAGAACTTGATGAACAGACCCAGACAATGAAGCTGGGCGTCTTTTCTCCTCGGCCAACTCGTTGTTTTCCTCACAGGCATGAGGTCAGTGTGCTCAACTAAGTCACTGGCGGGTGATGAAGAGGACCTCCATGGTGTGTTTGTTTGTGTGACTGTAAAACTTACTGACGACGTCGCATTTCAGTGTGTGGTGCTCAGTCGTCTCGTCAGTGGGCGTCGTCAGGTTGCTGGAGTACGTGGTGCAGGAGTCAAGGCTGCCTCTGAATTCAGCAGAAAAAACACACAACCCTCAGCCATCTGCACATCAATCATTGTCTCTGGTCAATAGAGGTCAGGGTTTAATAATCTCAAGTGATTGCAATGATAGTTTCATTATTCTACAATGTGTGGAGATTCTATTGACTATGTGTGTTTATGTGTACTTGTTGAGATTATTCATTTCCGTCTGAAATATTTGAATGTTTTAAATGTGAACACTCACAGGTAGACATTCCTCTCGATGTACTCAATGGTTTTCTTGTCATCGAGGAGCTTGAACTCAACGTGGGAGCTGGAGCAGTTTAAAAGTGTGTCATGGCCTTTGTCATGGTCAGAAACAGACCACACCAGAACCCACTCCCCGTAGATCTGCGGGAGAAGAAGAACATAAGTCAGAGGAGTCCGGTCCTGCGCCTTCCCAAGAAAAACCTACAGCAGATGGTAAAGTTGGTTGAATAACATTCAAAACAGTGAAAACAAGTTGCACATGGCTGTCAGTAAAGGATTAACCAGCCACAGGGAGATCAGTAAAGTAATTTGAGGTTAACGGTCACTGCATGTGTAGATGATGTGATTATATTGAACAGTGAAAAAGCAATACATTCATGAGAAAAAGCTACAATACGGCACAGGACAAAGCAGCTCACTCTATCTCAGTGTAAATAATAATTACTTCCAGGTTCTGCTTCTCATTGGGAACAAGTGAGTGCAGAGCTATTTATTTTTATGTAATTAATGGCCCTACATGAACATATCTGGAGCAAAGCAGCTGCAGCTGAACTCCACTCACCTTTTGCAGGTCTTTACTCGGCAGCCGTTTGCCAAGAGTCTCGCACTCTTCGGCGGTTGGCTCAGCGTTGGAGCTGATCACAGCCAGCAGCAACAGCACCGCTGTCTTTGTTGCATACATCGTGCTCTGAGATGGAAAAACAAGCCAACCAACCACGGGATCTGTCAGGAGAACAGACTGACAGGATGAACCCCAGCCCGTTTATAAAGAATTGGGGTCCCCTTTGGGTTGGGGTCAGTCCAAAGATCGTGTGTGCTCAGTGGGTTACTGAACTTACTCTCCGCTCACTCAGTGCCTCTTTATCTGCTGCGTGGGAGCTTTTTTTTTTTTTTTAATGTCGCCATGTTTATGCATGTATGGTGTTCCCTCACAAGGCCGAATCACGAGTTCTGATCCTTTCTACAAGATAGGGGACTTCAAAGTCAGATGTGGATGTGGTCACTATGTTCTTTTTAAGTTTACACTGCCTTAAAACGTGGCTTTTTTAAAGGACAAACGTGTCGAATTGGCTGCAATTGTTGCAGCCAATTCAGCCAAAAATTGCACTGTCATTTGTTGAACTCAGCATGCTACGCTACCTCTGCCGACATATGAGATTGATCTGATTACAGATTTCTTGGTCAAAACAGGTTTTGTCCCCCTATCCAAGATTTCCATTATCACTGTCTGATAACTACAGTTCAAAGGTTTAAACAGTTCATCAGCCCGACCCAAATCAGAGAGGGCATTCAATACAACATGAATGTCTTACAAAATGGAATTTCACTCAAAAAAACAAACACATTTCTGCATCTTAAGCTTGCACAACATTTCACAAAATGTTGAGATGCTGGCAATTTAGAGCTAGTAATTAGGGACACATATAAACAATGCGATTTCAGACCAATAATGTTGAGTTGGTTGTTTTCGTACTTAGTAGAAGATGAATTTTCCATGAGACATTTAATATTTTTCCTCAAGATCTAAGGTGTGCTCAAAATGAGGTGACTGATGTCCAATTAAGTTCCTGAGAATGCTGAATTGCATCCAGTGGGCCTCATACTTTGAAATATTACTGTCACAGTATGTTTTCTTCCTGTGTCTTATTCCACCAAAGAGACTGTGAGACATGGACCGTGACTAAAGATAATAACCCTGTTGGACATAGAAATGTGTTTAAATATTGTCCATTGACTTGCAATTGTATGAGTCTCCTTTTTTTGTTTTTCATAAACATACGAGACGTAATTGATAACATGTGCGAATCTCCTCTAAATTATTTTGTCGGCTAGTGGCTCTCGTGTCTGTGCACAGCATCAGGGTGAAGGAAAACTGTATTTTGCCTCCTTCTGTTTGAATCAGTTGTATGTTAAGTCTGGATTTTAAACCCAGATGTGTAGAAGTTGCTTCTATCCATTCTGAGACTCTGGTAACTAAACAGGATTGATCAATAAAGCGAAACCTTTTTTCTTCACATAGAGACTTGATTTTCTTATTAGACATGCTGAGAGCGTGGTGCCATGTTTGTATCTGAGGGGGTGGTACCAGTGTTGACCATTCAGATTTCAGGGGAGGATTGTTTATGTTTCAAACTTTGTTGTGGTGAATTCACAACACATAAAGTACCTGTCCTTTAACCTAAAATTACTACTTTTTTGTGGATTTCCAGCCATTTTCTTTTCTAAACACTAAAACCAAATTCAGCTGGAAGCTTTTTCCTGTTGATAAGTTTTAGAAAACAAGCTGTTTCTGTCATTTTGTTTTGTTTTGTGTTAGATTTAATTAATAGATACATAACAAAAATCTGCTCGATCATTGGCCAACACTTTGTGAGATGAACGTTTACCTGTGGGATAACAGCAAATAACAAGAACGGTGTGGTGTGGCTTAATATAGAAATCTCAGTACTAGAAGTGTCAAGCAGTTATTCTTTAAGCAACATTTCCTTGTTGGCTGCTGTTAATTGTTTTAATGCAAATTCAAACTCATTAGAAACTTCATCAAACTTTATTTATGTAACCCTTGTGTGCCCTCCTGGGGTCATTCTTACTCTGGATTCAGTGAAACTGGTGTATGACGGCACACAAGGGTTAGATAAGCACAGAAAAGAGTATAAACACAAGTGTAAAAGATTCACAATGCATTGATCTGATCTGATCACCTGTAAATCCCAACCACTTTCATGGGAATGCATTACATTAGGTTTGAGTTTATTTTTTTGTAATTTTTTATACTATCAAATATCCTGTTTACTGTACATGTGGTGTGACACCTACAAATGTGAAGCCACAACATCAGGCCATTAGTTTTGTTTAGTCAGTGGTGCTGAATTTACTGTAGAATTAAATGTTTAAAAGACATGGGTTTACCACAGAAAGGATTAAATCCTATACAATAAACAATGAAGAAATTTACTTTTGTATAAGAGGCTAAACTTTTTATTAAAATAATTTGTACAGTGAACTTTACTTGAGATTGTGTAATTGTAGAGAACAATGAGACAATTTGCTTTGTTTAATTTTCCTGCAAAAAGTCAGACTCCACAAAGGTCTACAATAATAGCAAGCAGATGTGATTCATGTTTGTTAAGTTGATAACTGCATGATTTCACTGCATTCTCTGACAGCAGCACAACCCTTAAGGTGCTGTGCTGTCACATGCACTGTCCTCAGCGTGTGCCAACAAAACTTTGTGTGAAACTTAAGGACACTTAACTTTATCATTGACAAGATGAAGGGTAAAAAAGACTCATAGTCACTCATATAATAATGTGTGACTCTTTTGTGTGTTATTAGACAAACGAAAGCGTGCAGATATGGTTTCAGAACATCTTTATTGTTTAGTTGACTGCAGATGTGGGGCCACACAGTCTCAAATTCTTGGCGTTTTTTCCATTAAAATGAAGGGCAGGTACTTGAGAGATGAATTTGGTCACAGCGCCACTCAGTTGGAAGGATTCCCCTATCATACACCCAACATTCCTCTATTGGGAGTACGGCAGCTTGATCCCTTCACCTTCTTTACAGAAAGCTGTAGAAAGGAAAACCCACACAGAAATTTAGTTTTGTGTCACATAAAAAAACAAAGGTTTGCTTTAATTTCAGTGATAAAAAGTTTAAAAAAGATGTTTGAAGTGCTGTACTTTTCTCAGGATTGAAAAGGTAATGTAGCTCCCCAGAGAAGTCGAAGCAGCTCGCCTGCTTCTTGAAATGCTCCAAGTCTGAGTCTTTCACAGTCAGTTCTGTGCCTGGGAACAAAAAGACAATGCATGAATGAATGTTTGGTCGAAAAATGAATGGTTCTTTTGACTGTCATTATATGTGTAGTTTTTTTCTTACTGAAAAGATAAACAGCACGAGCTTGGATCTCATCTGGTACAGACACTCTGTCGAGTTTAATGAAATTCAACATGTCTTTGTTGTTTGTCATTGTACTGTTGATCTCTAAAACCAGACAGGTGTCACAGCTTGGCAGTCTTTGGAGCGTCCAGGTCATGTTGGGAACTAGGTAGAAACAAAAAAATTGGAAAAGGTTTAATAAAAACAAAGAGGGTTCCTGGTTCATGTACCTGTGGGAACCGGGACCTTTCTCTGTGGAGTTAACATGTTCTCCCTGTATCTGTGTTTGTTTTCTCCAGGTACACCGGCTTCCTCCCACCATCCAAAAACATGCATGTTAGCTGGAATGGACACTCCAAATTGCCCCTAGGAGTGGATGTGAGTGTGTGCGGTTGTTTGTCTCTGTGTGGACCTGTGATGGAAAGGCGGCCTGTGACTCTTTTGTATCTTGTTAGACAAAGATATAAAATAAAGATATAAAACAAAAGTTAAGAAAAAACTATTTCATGGAAATGCTCTGGGATATCCTTTCATTTTAGCTCCATTAAGTTATTTCTTCAGAACTTACAGAGTTTATCATTTCAACTAACTTTTAAAAATGAATTTTTACATTTTTGGAAAATGGTCTTTCTTTTACTTAATTTTAATTAAGTATTTTATTCTTGTGTTGCAACAGGAGGGATGTCCACACTTTCTGCTGCTGGGGGGTTAAAGTGGAGGTCAAGTTGATGACTGTTTACAATTACACAATGACTGAAATAAAAAGGTCCCTCTGACTGATTTGTGACTGAATATTTGTGTCAGATCTATTCAGTAAACTTACGTCTGGTTTCAATCATTTCTCCGGTCATGTCAATTTTGGCCTTGGAACCAAAGCAGGTTCCATTTCTGTGGAAATTATCAGAAGAAGGAAAAAAGAGTCATTAACTTCAGAGAAATATTGCAGCTGACATTCACATAAAACATTTGAAAAAACTGAGTCTGGGTCCTTGGGTCCATTCATTTGTATTTTTTTTCACATTTTTTACTGTAAATTTGGACATGAAATGAGAAACTGATGACTAAGAGAATTTGGTTTTGAAGGTTGTTTTTTTAAGCCTATAGGATCTATTTTGTACTTTTGAGCCTCCTCTGCTTGTTTTAAAGCCGTCTTAACTAACCAAGATTGGAATAATTTAGTTTTTGGCTTCAAAAACCTTTTTCACACATGCTGAAAAGAATGTCAAAAACCAAACAGTAGATTCACACTAACAAAGCTGGTTGATCATGAACATGTTGGCCCATCAAAAGAGATATCAAACACTTGAATAAAGGCTGACACTTGGCTTTAGATGAAATTAGCTGTGATTTGGCCCCATACAAATGAAAATTAGTTAATAAAGGTCCCTCACCATTCCAGCTTTGGTTTAAAGGTCAGAAAAAGTCACATGTTTTTTTTTTAGTCAAGGTACATTATGGGATTTTTAAACACTTTAATAACTTACAATGCTGTCAGAGTACAGAAGGAAAAGCACAGATTGTATTTTGTGTCAACTCACAGTCTATTCTCCTGGGACATAATGACTTCACTTTTGTTGGATGGTGACTCAGTAAATGTTATCCAGGAGCTGTCAGTTATCTTCAGGACATCTCGATAAATTTCTTGATCAGTAAAGCCTGCGTAGAAGTTAAATTTTTTGCCCATCTGTAAACAAAACAAGACATAGATGGTTTCCAGTTAGCTCACTTTAATAACGAGTAAACCTCTTTATCTTTATGGAACCAACCAGAACCTATTGACAGCTTAGAATGTTTCTTCATATTCTTTTACTGAGTGTACTTATTTTGATAAAAACTAAGCCTGGAGCCACAAAGAACCCACAGTTAGAGTTACAAAATAGATACTGGTAAGCTTAGGTTTAGACACTTTTTAAAAAAGGGAAGCGTTGCATTTAATGTTTTACATTTTGTACAAGAGTTAATTTAAGGCGTGTATGTTCCTGTTTGCGTTGAAAAGTCTTTTTAAAACTGCATTCGGGTTTTTTGAGCAGAATTCTGTCTAACCCTTACAAAATTCTGAGTTTAACAAAGTTGCCAAATACTTTTTTCATGCAAAAACAAGGGAAGGTGTCATCAATCAAGTGGAGGTATACTCATCTAGCTTTGCTGTTTTTTTCTGGCCGGCTGTTTGCTGCAGATTTATGACGTAATGAGGGCGCCTGACACTACACTTAGCATGCAGCCAAAGAATGCTGAACACAGTATTAATCAAAAGAGAAAAGGTAAATTAAGAGAGGAGATTTACCAAGCTGTCGGTTATCAACAAGGGTGTGACCAGCGGTTGGCACTCTTCGGGGGTCGGAGCTGAGCTGCTCAGAAACAGGGCCACCGACAGGATACTACAGCTGAGCCACAGGTTCATGATGGCGCTTGGCTGAATTCAAGTTACAGTGACTGATGCTATGAGCTGCTCAGCTTTTATGCGATCTGACAGAGTTGCATAAGGTGGAATTTCCAGTAATTGCATAATTTGTAAATAATCTTTTTGCTGCAGTTAGAAAAACTAAACTCCACCTCAGTGCATCTGTCTGACAGTTTGGGTTTGCTTTGCTTCAGCTGTATTTTGCAATAAGATAAATAGAAGTATGTGTTAATCATTTACCGATTGGTTTCATTACCCTTTGTTACCAAGGATCAAAATGAGTGGGTGTATTTTAATCTTTAGAATGAGCTAAAGGCTGAAAAACAAACTGACCCCAACCGACAGTTATCTGAAAATCAAAAAGTCAAACTATACAAAGTTTATGCTGGAATAACTAATTCTTACAATATAAAAAAGGCATTCCTGATTTAGCAGGTACAACATTTCAAGCCCCCAAAATTAAGATTTCAATGTGCTGCAGCTGTCAACATCTGTTTACAAGATGATCACAATAAGACACAACAAAATAGGAATTAATTTGGATAGGAAACAAGCAATAAAGCAGTTCTAGCGAGACACATTCATGGGTGCTGTTCTTTAATCTAAATGTATTGGAGAGAAAAGGTTTGTTTAAAGAACTGTCAGAAAGTAGGAACCATTTTTCATCATTAACATCTGCATATGATGACATAGATATATGTGATCCAAGAAGCCCTGTCAGCACTCGAATGTGCCAAAGTTTGAATAAGTTTCTTATAGAAAGGCAAAGCACTAAGCCATGTTTCCTCTTAGCATAATACACCGAGCTGAGGCGCCGGCTGAGAGAAAAGGGAGAACTATTTTCATCTCTTCAGGTTGCTTCTGAGATGTGGCGTTAAGAGGAAACAAAATGTGAGAAATATGCCAAGGCTAAAACAGCAGCAACAAGGGAAAAAACCTAACACAACAACTTCATAGAGCTTTCAGGCTTTTTTAAGAATCAACTGAAAGGGTAAGACTGCAGAAATATTATAATGAGGGATGGAAGATTTGGCATAAATCAATAAATATGCAGCTGTTCAAATAACCCCCCTTCCATATATCTCAATAAATATGACCATGCATATTTAAACATAACTGTACTTTAAACAGCAGCAATTGCTGTTGCTCACATCATCTGCTAATGAAAACTCACATTTGGAGATAAAAATTGTGGTTCAACAAAATCAGCAAGATTGGAATAATATAATTTTTAGCATCCATAGATCTGTCGGCTATCAGTAATAAGTTAAACAACTCACATTTTTATTATAATCCCTTATTCCTTATCGATCTGATAAATTTGCACATAAATGATCTCTATGGTAACCACAATTAGATTTAAGAAATTATATCAAAAGACATTTGATACTTTGGTGTCTGTCATAGCAGTTCACAAGCACTAGAGGGAGAAAGAGTTCATCTAATGGCCTCATTCAAATTTCAGATTAAAAAGACAAAAACATTTTTCCATCTGTGTACAGTTCATTTAAAAAGTATCCAAATTCCAGCAATATGAGTCGCAGCATCATAACACTGGTCCAGTTATAATCATATACCAAATAATAGGTTACATAAAAGCACCCGGGATGCCAATAAGAGAAAAACATCTACCTAATCACGCATGTGGCAACGGCGGAGGGGGAAACTATGCCTGGACATGAAAAAAACTCTAAAGGGAATAGATTCAGGAAGGACAGCCATCAGCCTGGACCGACTGGAGGTTTGAGGGAGCAGTAAAGAGGGGACACGTGCTAGAAAAGGCAGGAAAACCAACCAAAACGTTTGAAAAAATGTTGTAAAGATGCCTGCATTTCCAAAAGCTTTTGATTCTTTGGATGTGAGTTTAGTTTTATTAGTCAGAGCAATACTGAGGTGATTTACATGAGGCATTTTTGGAGGTGAACTGAGTGAAAACTGCCAGTTTGTGCACATATCACAGCTGCAGCTATTAAGCATGGATAATTCCACACGCAGAGGGCGGACCTGTACCTGAGTGTCAGGGCGGGAGATGGTGGAATGATCCAAAACCGGACACAGATGGATGACAGAGGGTCGTCAAGTCTGTGGAGGTGATTAGTGAATGGATGGAGACAGGTGAATGTTTGCTTATCATTTGTGAAAGCTGTAGGACTGCTGCTGTTTCTTCTTAGGAATCTGGGTTCACTTTATAAAAAAACAGCGTGCTATCTTGAGCAGACAAATATTTCGGAGTCAGTGTGTATTCGGTGTGGGAAAAGTAAACACAAATCGTAATTCATTCCGCTTCTGTTGAACTACTTCCATTTGATTTATGACTTCAGATTCAGTTTCCTTCGGTTTGAAACACCTGCTCACACCTGAAGAAAATTAAAATAAGTAAAATTGTTATTATTAAGATTAATTCAAACTGAACTATGGCCTTTTCTTCTGATTTGGAAAACCTGCAGTTAAAGACAGAAAACACATGAAGTCATGCTTTCTAACGCCTGATTCAAATCCACTGTATGGCATCACAGGCAAGCAATTTGCTTTTGGTAAATATTAGATAAGAAATATATATATATTTATTGTCAACAGGGAGGGTAGGAGTTGCTTATTTTTATACTATAATTGTGCTCCATGAGATCAAGTCTGACATTCTGGGATTTGCCTCCTGCTGTAGTGAAAATGAATATAAGTTAGTTAAGCCTCATCAAATTGTCCTACGCCTCTCTCTCACAGCTGGAGCTGATGTCAGTGTCAGCAAGTAAGGGGATTTGGGCTTGCTAATGTCACGGTTAATTGACCTAAAAATCAGGAAAAAATCCCTAATGCCTTAAGGCTGGTGCTTTTTTGAATGCCAAGTCGACATAACGACCATAGACCAGATGCAAAACAACACAAAGCATTTGGAATAAGAGACAATCTATAGCTTCATAGTTATATCAGTAAAAGACATGTGAAGCTTGCTGTTGCATTATGTCTAAAAGCATTGGTAATATCGAACAACCACAGACAAATAGCAACTTCAGAGATACAAAAACATGAAAGATTAAAAAAACAAAAACAAAAACAAAATAAATGTTCCAGAGAGGCAGCAAATGTTTTTTTTCAACCCAGAGTGAATTAATAAAGAGGGTTCAGAGTGTTTGCTTGATACTTTTTGTGTTGTACCACTTTACAAATCATTATTTTCTCATTCAGCTCAGTTCCATGGCTCTTGAGTTACATTCCCTTTCCCTGACTAAGCCAGATTGTTACATCAAAAAGCAGTGAATTTTCTGCCCAGGAAAAAATTGTTCCGTGGACTCAGAAGTGGCATCGCTGCAACATGGATGGATGAAAAAAAATGTTAGAGCAGAGAATGTTTTCGATTGATTATACATGTGATTTTAAAATACAGTATCATTTTTAAATCAGTGAGATAAAGTTGATAGATTTTACTGCGTTTTCGATATATTATATTTGGCAGCATTCCTAAAAAAGAAGGAAAAATAATTGTAACCGCAGAAGGAGAGAAACTGTCAATCAGAGCCTAGAATCAACAAACATCTGAGACATTTACGCCTGCATGGCCATGAATGCAAACCTCCATCATGACCTCTGCAGGTTTTGAAAAGATCTTTGCTCCTTTTGCTATATTTCACAATGCAGCACTATCAGAATTTCCTTTTAACTGATCCGACTCAGGTAAAACACGCTGACAGGTTGGGCTGAGCGTTGCAAATGTAAACCATCTGCAAACCCCTTTCTTCTTCCGCAGGTAACCCTGAGAGAGCCTGGCTCCATTCATTAAACCCATTTGATCAATTAATCAACAGCTGTGGGACCGGAGCCTCTGAAGAACACATGCAAAATAAATCACTGAACATTTCCATCATTTGTGGCTATATGATGTATTGATCAGCAACCTCGTGAACAAATGAAAGCGTCTCTCATGTCCTGGGAGCTGTGAGCCGACTGTAGACAAAAAAAATCCTCTGATCTTCCTACTCTGTGTGTTCTCACCTCACTTCACTGCTGTGTGTCAGGACCATATGCTGCAATCAATAAACCAATCAATAAATAAAAACTTTGATCTGACAGTTTGTTTGACACAGAGTGTAAGTTGTAACCTCGGAAAGGAGCGCTGGCTGTTGAGTTAGTGGGCAGATTGGAAGCATTTCAACATGGTCAGACAGTTTGTACAAACAGTTATTTACTGATTTGTTGCAGTTCGGCCTTCAATTTCTGTCAGTATGTACTGCACAATACAAAAAATAAATAGAAATACAGGCAAACAAACAGACGAAAAATTAATTTTCCACCTCGATGCAACCACGTAAATTCCCCTGAGAGCAGCAGAGGGATCTGAGGTCAAAGTTCATGAAGTGCCCCAAAAAATGGATTCAGTGTCTCATGCTGTATATAGCAGTGCTTTACAAAATGTGTTTGGTTTTCCATTAATAAATGTTTTCTTCCATGATGGTAAAATCAAATTGCAAAGTTCCAGCAGGAGGGGAAAATAACCCAAATGTGGGGCCGTAGGGAAAGGAGAAGATTTCAGGTGGTTTGAATAAATGGTGGTTTTCTTAAAGCCAGACAGAAGGAGCTGAAAAGGCAAAAACAAAACTCTACAAACAGGGAAAAAAACTGACTGAGAAACCGCAGGGAAGACAGAACTACAGTAAAACAATAATGATGACCAGGCTGGACAGAGCGAGAACCGAGGAACATAACGGGAACGAGGGTCCTGTATGCATTCTGTATCTCATAGCCACTCACTCTTGCAATAAGGTTTATCCCTTATGCCTCATCTTCATCTTATAGGACTGAAGGTCCTCATTAATACAACCCCTGTTTAAAGAGGACAAAAGACTTCAAACCATAAAAGATTTTGGAGCCACGTCATTCAGGTGAAAGGATGGCATCGCCATATTCAAGCCTTTCTCTGGCAAGACAGACATAAAGCAAAAGAAAAGTATTTCTTTGGTGTGCGGGAATTATCAGCATCACTGGAGCATGTCGTGGAGGAATACGCACTTTTATAAATTAATTCCTATCATAACCCTACACATTCAAACCCTCTGGCCCGCTCACTTTCTCTCTGTCCTGATCAGAAACCTGCTCAGGTCTTCCAGGAGTTTCATCTCCTTCATTAAAATGCTTCGCCCTCGGGCGCCTGTGTCGCTTCACAGGACTCATGTATTTGCACAGGTGCAAGATAGCGTAAGATTTACACACACATACACACACACCTACACACGCACACTGTAATCAAGGGAAAGTGAGGCGAGCCTTCTCAGACCTTCTGCACATTTCACAGAAGCATCATCTCACCCTGATACCTCGTTTCTGTGTTTGAACGGTAGATTTACACCATTACACCACACTACCTCTTCAGTCCATCTTGTTATCTACAGCAGCCCAGCTTCTTGCTCTGAGTTTAAACAGAATGTCGTTATTTATACTTAAGATTAACTTCTAAAGACACTATATTCAAAGATGGATGACTAAAATGGTTAAAAGATGTGGTAAAACTTCTTACAGAAACCAAGTTGTAAAGGCTAATTGGGAGATTTGGGAGGTTTCCTAGAGGGCGGCTTGTAAGTTCCCTTTAGAATTAAAGAAAATAAGCTTCTAAGTGCCAGTGTCTTTTTACTCTTTGCACCAAATGGAAAAAGCATATAACTGCAGACAGCTTGTGAAAATATATTTTCAGAAAGGTCCAGCTGCTCTATAGCTACTTTTGAAGCAACCAATCATATGGCCCTGATGCTCTTCTGTTTATCCAGAGTTCAAGTTGTTGACCCGTCAGACAGAAATGATCACACCAAACCCAGCAGCCGCTCCAGTAGCCGTGCTGCTGTGGAGTGTTGTGCTCTTATCACCGTATGAGCTAGTTTTCATCCTCATTCCTCTGCAGGTGTTTGTCTGTCAGCAAAAACAGGACGCAGACACACACAAAAGCATACACACGGGGTGTATCCTGTGGTGATACAATCAGAGTGTGTCCCCTCATCTATTTCTGTTGGCAAAAGCCTCACCTGTTCCTTATCACAATTCAGAAATTCTCTAAATGGGGAGAAGCTGTGATCAACAAGAGAAACGGGCTCATCCCAAAACCATTTAGAAAAAAATCTTCATCCACTATAAAAATCATAATTAAATCATCGTCGCTCCCACAAGCTCATTAATTCCCAGCACGTTCTCCCCAGTAAGTCAACATAATT